ATGTAAACAATAAAAGCAAAACTTAAAGGGAAAAAAAATATGTTTGCATAACGACGGTACTTTTGCTGCCAATGGATTTTGTCTGTGTGTCGTCTGCATGTCATCTGCTTTCTTTCGCTGGTTGGCTACACACGACGTTACTAAAACACTCAGTTGGGAAATTCACCCTTGAAACCTGGGTCACTGGCGTCCACCGAGATCAAGCTAAATATGATAACAGCGCCCCCCCTTAGCGACACTGAATGTTTTCAGAGTAGCAAAACTCCCAGACTCGAGGTGCCAAGATGGCAGCTCAATCTTAATATTTATTCTGGTCACCATAAGCTTTTAGAAAGCATGTTTTTGAGTAAAAACAAATGGAAAAAGCTCTTTTTGTAGAAACTTTTATTGGAGATCAGTAAAAATGACAGGTGCATGATGTTTTAATATCTTTACTTTAGTTTACAAGGTTTTGCGGCTCAGTCAATAGTATTTTTGTACAACTATGTCTCACCGGTGATTCCAGGTAGCCCGTCCCGACCTGGGCGTGTCCTAACTTCGGTAGTAATTAGCGGCACGCCTGCTTGGGAGAAGGGTCGGCATCCCTGAAACCTTTTCCCCCGTATGTGTTTCGGCGCCAAAATGGCTGATTAAAACCAAAATAGAACCGTCGCAGAAGACTCTATCGAATGCGATACTCCTTAACCGACACAGTCGTGCAGTTCCTCGAGTGGCTGCTGCGGGAGAAATGGCAGCGTTGCGATCGCCATTAGCTCAGCTCTGGTGTACGGATTGGTGCCACTTCTTTAAGAGACAGATCTATGGCAGTTTACCAACTGAGATGTTCTAGTAACATTGGCTACACCTTTTGACGCTCCTCCTGACGCCATCTATCAATATGTATGCCAAATGCGTCACCGTCCGCCGTTGATCATGGCAAGTTTCTTGGCCCTATTTTTTACAGAGAGCGAGCTACGCTTTCTAATTTTACACGAAAAAACCGACCTGTGAAATACATCTTTGACAAAAAGTTTAGATCAATACGTGCAGGCGTTGATTTTTACGGTCCATTTTAGATTGAGCCTGGTGACGTAGGACACCCCATATATCACACAAGGCAAACTTTACGTAGTACCATATTGCGGTGGGCGATCTTTGCATAAATCAGATGCCTATAAAAAGGGATTTGTTTATCGCATAACCAAATTATTTGTGTAACATATAAGTCCTAAAATTAGGTCTGGAAAACTTTAACGGTGAAACTTCCAGTATCCCTAATAGGTGGACACAAAGCTTCTTAGCCTGCTGGAAATCAATTTTTAAGTAAAAACCAGTTAATAGCATATTACCATTTCTTCTGGGTTTCGAACAACGTTGACCTATTCAAATACTCCAAGCATTTGAATAATTTGAATGAAATACTTCATCTTTTGATTGAATGGCAGGTTTTTCAAAGTACCTAGTCTCATTACACAAGTACATTGTGGCAAAGGTGCATGCATGGCAACAATGTCACCGGTGCCACTTTTCAGCAATGTAACTTTGTGCTTACTTACAAACCCTTTTTGCAGCCAAGTTCACGTAGGTGTTGGGTGTTTCAATAAAGTTTTGCTCGCTCGCTTTGTAAACGTTAATGGTGCATCTGAAGTGTGAGAAGTTGAAGGTTGCAAGATTCTCAAAGGTCCTAATTCTACTTGGGTCACGGAGATGCTTCTCATTTACTGGCACAGTGCTTTCGGGCTTTGGCCAAAATAACTGCAGGAAATAATCCGTGTCACTTGTAGAACGAAGAGGGCCATTATTTTTTGCTCAGGCTAGTTTTAATTTTTTAAAAAATGAAACAAATCGAAGGTCAAAGTACCCCTCGACTCTCCCGTCATCTTTCGAACAACGTCACTGGGGGACAGCCTGGTTTCCCCTTAGGTTCTGGCTTCAGAGCTCCCTTCTAGATTGTCGAATTTCCAGGGATTAGCATCGCCGAAAGTAACGGCGAGCGAGCAAATGCCACACGCGACTGCAGATCGGCAAATACAATAATTCCTCATTAGAAACGAAGTCTACGGGACAGCAAAAAAATTCTATATAAGCATATAAGCGGTAATCCGATAAAAGCAATAGAGCCAAAAAAACAGTGACAGCAGCCTTGAAGGTGGACAGGAACACTGCGGAACACTCCGACCGTATATTTAATGAAACAAACCATGGTAACGAACATTTTGCGACAGCTTCACCGAGTAAAAAAATAATGAAGTAGAGTTCGCGATCATTTCATCTGGGCATAATTTCTCTTCGAACTGCTCCAGGCATCGCAAAACACTGTCACCGCCACTGCACTCCACTTTATTTCGAAGCAGCCGTGGGATGCTTCGCGTCTCCACAGTCATCAGCGTTTCCCAAGGTGCCTCTCCCATGTCGCTTCGTGTTTACCCTGGCCGCACGCAAAGTCTACGATCGCAGCATCCACGGCAGGAGCAAAAACGGGAACGTTCGCATCGACAAGCACGAACGAATCAAAGTTATCCTCGGTGGCTTTGCCAAAATGTTTTCACACACTTCTGTAGAGATTGTTGCAGCTCTGGGAACCGTGCACCGGCTCGGCAAGCATGCTCGCAAGAGAAAATCCGACGGTCGCAAGGCAGTTGGCTATCTTTCATCTTCGGGTCGCGGGCATGCTTTCTCTTGCATGAGGAACTTCTTGTTCTGCAAAATGATGGACAGTGTCGAACGGCCGATGCCAGAATGTCTAACTCTTTGGCAATTTTGGACTTGGGCCGGCCACTTTTCTCAACCTCGCCGATCTAAAGCGACTTTCGGTAAACACTCCCAATCTCCCATAAGACGTACGTCTGCGTTCACTACGCCACAGGCATGCGCGTCAGGGGCTCCCGAAGGAATAATCTCTTCTGGGCTCCATCGCTCCCTTGACTCGATTCCAACAGGAGTCAGGCAGTGTCAGCCGCGGGCGCCATAAGCATCTTTGGAACGAGGAAACTGCTCCCGCTGCACCACTGCTCCCTGCCATGACTGCTCCCTGCCCGCATCCCCACATCAGCATCGGAAGCGGTGCTCTGCACGCTCTACCCTGCATCACCCGTTTAATCCATTTTCTTGTTTGCCGTTTTTCCAGTTTGCCATTAGCCTCGGTGGAAAGGAGGGAGGAAACACAAGTATCTCCGTGCGCCTCCGTGTAGGCTCGCGTGCTTTCGGCACCGTGGCCTTCGTAATAAGCGTGGTCGGCCGCTGATACACTTCAAATAACCCGGTTACATATGTATACATTTTGATCGCGACCACGCTGAACTCCGATAAAGCGACAATTCGAAAAAAGCGAGTTTGTTATAACGAGGGATTACTGCAACTAGTTTCTTCCTTAGCAATTACGCAGTGGAATAGCATTTTTTCTCACTTGTGCCTAGATAAACAGTATAAAAAATACAAGCTGCAAATTCTTTCAACAATAAAATTGTTGCACTGCCCCATTAAGCCCTTTGTGATCAAACTTCTTGAACAGCATTGAACCAATATGTTGGTCTCGCAATACGAGCGAATCGTTTGATAGTAGCTAGAAGACTAATCTAACCGGTTAGCCCCCGCTCCTAGATAGGTCAGATTTCACCGACGATGCCAGCGCTGCTTCACCATTGTCACGCAAATCTATCATATCCCAATGCTTCCACATTCTTTTTTTGCCTTAGAAGAAGCCTCGAGAGACATTGAAATGTTGCTTGATGGCATTCATAGATTTCTGAGGCATGGCCTAAAATTAGTCTAACACAAACTCAAAAGTTGCCTTCCGCTGGGATTTGGCCGCACATGCAACAAAGTATTATCAACAGTGGAAAGCTCGCGCTTGAGGCAAAGCTTCTACTGGGTTCTATAAACCTGTCACCAACTATAGGAACGTCAGAAAGTTTCTGCAGCATACATACTTCCAAGATGTGGTCCCCATTCATGGCTTGTAGAACCTATGCATTACAATCATAAATCCAGCAAGTTTGTATTCAATCAAGACATGCTTGCGATAAGCACCAGTGAGTGATAAGAGAGTGCAGCTTTAATGCCTGGTTCAGACAGTTGCTTTGGTTGCATTCAGAGCAACTGAAATGACAGCAACGACCAAGTCACTGGGACATGTATTTGCCATAAACAATGTGACCCAATGCGAGTAGCTTTATAAAGCCACTATGAGCCACTGTCCCAGCATCCATCACGGCTGTTGTTTCGGCTGTTGTGTAAATCAACCAGCGCGAACGTATGAATCAACTTCAAAGCTCGAGGAGGGGTAAGGGGAGGGAGTTTAGTAAAGAATGCAAGCCAGTCCAACCACCACAACATGCAGAGTCTTTCCAAATTTTTGCCCAATTTTTGAGGCATCATACCGGCTTGATGCAAATTCCATACAAAAATTAAGGGACCGTGCAGCTGACTTCAACATGGCTCCTTTCTTCCATCTGGATACCAGCTTGGTCAACTGTGTCCTTTAGTCTTTCAAATAATTAAACATTTTTTGTGCTATCAAAACAAAAGTCATTCCTACAGTGAACCCCCCATTTAGCAAACAACTTTGTTTCAAGTTTCGTGCAGCTTTATTGGAAAGACAACACGCGAGCCGAGGCAAACTTTTTGAACAGAGCATGCACAGGTCCCAACTAATCTCGACTCGAGACCCTTCTTTAAGCATTTCGGTTTGTCAGCCCTTTTTCTAAGCAAGCTCCCGTCTCTTCCTTCATGCAAATTCTGGAAAACCCATTCTTAATTGCACTACTGAAAGATCCTTTTGCCTATATCCAATCTAATTATGATTGATTGGAGGCTGGCCGTAACAGTGATGCCACAACGCGGAAAAGAGATGATCACAGGGACTAGACACTGCCAACCGCTCGTGCTACTTTTAGGTTTATTCGGCATGCAAGGCCTAGCTGCCACACAAAGGCAAATGCCCCAAAAACGGCCGTCCCTTTACACAAGCAGAGCTAGACAACTACCAACTGCCACAAGTAACTTGAGAAAGTGTAGTTTACCTTTCTCGGTGGACTTTCCGCCCCAAACTGTTGGTTTTGTTCGCCATATTTCTGAGCTCCTCCCGCCTCCTGAATGCAATTAACAAGGCGAATTAGCCCTCGGCATAAAAAGACAGTCACTCCACTGCACAGAAACAGCGCGCTCTACGGACCTTAATGAAAGCTTCAGCTCACTGCTACCGAAACACTAAGCAGTTACTGGCAGGCTTAGGGCAACGGGGCCCGTCGACGAGTTGCTACGTGTCTGATGAAAGCGTATGGCCTGCATCAAGATCAACCACACAATAGCAGCTGAGCACCATTAATTGCAGTCAAAGCAAGACAATCAAGAGATACAGCCCCCACGCATTAAGGCTGCCAGTAACTGCACCAACTGTGTAACTATCAAATGCCGACCGATGCACCCCGGGTGCATGGAATCATGGAAAATGCAGTGTAGCATGCACGAGAAAGCAGGCCGCAACGAATGAGTCAATGCAACAGTTGCAAAGCACCCCCCCAGGGCACACAGCCACCGATTCCAAGAGCTTCGAGCAAACCCCGTCAGTCAAGTGAGCGTGCAAATGAAAAACCCTATGCAGCGACGCAGCGACACAAATGACGACAGGACAAGAAGGTGAAAAAATAATATCCTTTTTATTAGTTTCGCCGTTTGAAAACAATAAAAGAGCATGTTTGCATGTCAATAGAGCAGATCAGCACCCGTTACCGGTTTTGTACAAAAATAATCAAACTAGCATCTCTCCCTGGCTTTCTCTCGAATAGAGGTCATGGGGACTTCAGTGTACACAAGTTGGAAAAAAGAGACAAGCAACTTCACGTGAGAAAGCTGCACAGCCAAGTAAAGTTTATGAGCACACAAAATAAAAAAAAAAAAATAAAAAAATTAGGGTTTAATACAACATGTACAAAAAGCAAATTTTGTGCTAATTCCAAACATAAAGAGCCATATTTGATAACTGATATTTTGCCAGAGATTTTAAATATTTCTTTAAAGTTGCATCATAGTAGACTGCAAAGCCAAAGGGTTGAAAATCAAAATTATCCAGCATCAAATGAAGTTTTTTTTATACTTTTGCCAAACCCTGGCATTAAATGTGGAAATGGCTTTTTAAACTCTTGGAAACAACCCTTTCAAAAACTGTCGATCATGTTGAACTGACATGAGAGCAAGAGAAACGTTTCTTTGCTGGTAGTAAAGACTGGTAAATCAGAAAATCTAATACTGCAAAGAACAGTCAAGATGTACGGGAGGAAAGGTTCCTGCAAAATCTCCAGGCTCACTGCTTAAACCAACACTTATGTAACTCCAGGACACAACCATGAATAGGTTCCCTCTGAGCAAACGAAGCACAATCACACCACTAGGAATGCACAAACAAGACAGCAAGTGAAAAGCAAACAAACACAAACAAAAAGCAAGAGCATTTTGCTGTTTCAATGTCTAACGTGAGATAAGCCCCCATGTGAACAAGGGCATAATGTGAAGGTACCAGCAAAAAAAAGATTTAGAGCATTGTTCATTATCTAATTTCATATATACATGTGGCAAAACTTCTAAAAAATAATTTGGATGCCCCCCACCTGTAGCACGTCCTTCAAGAACTAAAAAAAGATGTGACTACCGCTACAATGTGACTCAAGGCCTCAACTAGACTCTGCATAACAAAGTTTCTCCAATAAATGCTGTCCACCATCATAAGTTTAGGAAAACCCAAGAAGCTGCCAAGCAAACAGACATTTCTCTTTTGCTCTCAATGCTCAAAGCAGACAGGGAAGTTCAGAAATAAATTGTGCTGTACCCTATATTTCTGAAATGCTTCTGCAATAAACAAAACAATATAGAACTATATATATATACATATAAAACTTAAGAATAAAAAATAGCAAAGGAAGTTTTTTTTTTGATGAGCCTCTACAAAAAAAGCAGGGCATGAAACCTTCCTTTGTAACAGAGAAGCATCTTCTGTAAATTCATTGTAAGTATTCGAGCATTGAAGCAAAATGTTGGCAACAGGATTTTAAGGCTATCAGCATAGACTCAAACTTAAGAGAACTTACTGGTGAAACCAAGTTGACCTTAGCACTACAAAATAATTTAACCAATTATAAATGAAGCATAAGTTATAGTGAACATTCTGCTCTTAGCAAAATGCATAAGAAAAACAACATTTTGCTTATGCTTAATCTGTGACTCACAAATTTCTATAGCATTACAACACAAATTATGATAATTTTAAGATAAAAAAGTTATACTACATTTGCAGCCAAGTTCAGATCGTGCACATACGTTCAAAATTTAAAAATAAAGCCATAAAATAAACCTACAAATTAAATGTAGGTTTCACCAAGACTAAAACCCCAAATCAGGGACGTAGCCGGGGGGGTGGGGGGGGTGGCCATGGGGCCCGGGCCCCACCCGAAATCTTCCATTTTACTGGGACCTCCTCTCCCCCCTCCCTCTCATACAGCATTTTGTCATAGGTGGCCCCCCCCACCCCCAAAACAAAATCCTGGCTACATGCCTGCCCCAAGTGCTTTTGTCCAAGTCCTACAGCATAAAATAAAGTCCTATTACCAATCTTCCACATTTCTGCAGATGCATCGAAACGGTGTAAAGTTTAGAAATAGAAAAGTTGGCCCTAAATTTACTTTGACCACACTGATGCTAAAATTCTTTTACCCAGCAGAACATAGAAGTACAAACTACTCCTTAAATTACAATGCTCATACCTCGAAACCATAAATATATGCACAAAATTCCTCATATGTATATTGAGATAACCCCTGCTCTCATTTACTAATAGAAAGAAAGCCAATTCCTTTTGATTCTACAGTGCATGCAGTCGGCCAAGGGTAAAACAATAGTGTTAGTGTAACAGCACCTAACAACAAAGAAGAGAAGGAACACACAACACAGAATGACCGATGACTCGCAACTAAATGTTTAATAGTGGAAAAAGAAACCAGGGAAACATAAAAGGCACACTCAACCCCGCATGCGCGGCCCAAACTTTCTCGTCACAAAAGGGCTTGATCAATCAGAGCATCACTAGCTCCCCCCTCCCCCCCCCCCCCCCCTTCCCCCCCTCCAACCCCCCTCCTTCCCCGATTCATAGTCAAAAAAAGTATTTCTCTTTTCAATAGCGCCACCAATGGGTTACTGACAGATTGCACTCCGTAATTAGAAATGCAGAAGGCCTCTGTCACTTCTCCCGTCATTTTATCTCGATGCTTTCCTCATATAGCAGCCTCATCGAAGGACGGTTTCGGTGGTGCATGCGTGGTTGAGTGAGCCTTTTATGTTTTCCTGATTTGTTGTCACTATTAAATATTTAGTTGTGAGTCAGCGCTCGTCCTGTGTTATGTGTTCCTTCTTTTAGTCTTCATTGTAATGCACTGTCCCACGTACGCCATGTTAAACTTCCACCAACTAGCCCAGCTCTCTACTTTGTAAAACAACAAGGACAGCAGAGATCATAATAATATTTATACTCCACAGCAAAGTCAATAGACCTGAGAGACTCACTCCTGAGATTCACCGTCGGAACTAAAATGCGATCAAAAGGCCAAGTCTGCAGGTGGATTTTGGAAAAATCCTAAATTTCTCTACGCTCTCGTTTTTATACTGCAATGTTAGCTCGCACATGAAACTGCAACCAAATGCCAAGCATAAAGCAATCCCTAACTGCTCCAAATCCACAAGCAATCCTAAATGGTTCCAAATTCAAATTCAGTCACAATAATGGAAAAAAAACACCCAAAAACCATTCACACTTACCCTAACAGCTCCCAAATTTCCGTCCCTGTAACGAAGGCCCGCTAGAAGCCACCTTAATTCGCTCGGAATGCAAGTGTCAGAACATGCCAAAGGGCGGCTGTTAAGGCACGTTTAGGGTCACGTCTGAATAAGCTCGAGCCGTCCACCAAATCTCTAGTAAACGACACCAACACTCATCCCAGGACACCTCCATTATCGCGTACGACGACGGCCAAGCTCTTACAGTGCTAAGCCTCTATATTCGAGAAACAATTGCAATAAAAAAACATGTCTGTGCACACTGCGGTGGAGAGTCGTTCTGCGCAAGCATTTGTGAGCACGTGATCTCCAAAACCGTCGCTCACAGGAAGCCCTACTCGACTTCACACAAGAAAGATCATAGAGGTCCTCCAGACGAGAGGCTGGACTACATATTTTGTGTTTTGAGTGCACTCGAGTGCAACGCATTCCCATGTAACCCCTTACGGCGAGAAAGCGTGTTGGCACACTGCTGCATCTATCTGAAAGCACTGGAATTGTGTAAAAGAGTGTAGGTTCTTTTTTAAGTACTTCCAGATCCTGATTTGTCCCTCACTGCAGGCCCACACCGTCTCTTTTTCCCTTCACTCCAAAATAAAGAAATAACAACGATCAATATTCGCGAGATCAAATTTACACACTATCCACAAAAACGATTGCTGGGAACGTTGCCAGCATCGTTTCGAGCCCACAGTGAAAAAATAATGCGTAAAAAATTATATGAATTTGTACGCAAGTAGGAATTGTTTCAGGAATACCCAACATGTGACGCTAGTGAGTCAGCACATTGTCTTGCCGCAAGCAGCTTTGAGGAAACTCAGCGCATTCCAGCGCACCAAAACGAAAAGGTGTGAACCGGCTTTAGCCGTCAGGGTGCTTCCAATCGACCGCACTCAAGCTCTCCCGATACAAATCTCACTAGGAATCGGGCTTCGCCTCGCTTGGAGAAGACTTCCACTGCCCGAGGGTCTCCTCTAAGACGCCGTCGGCTTTCTTCAAAGACGGTTGTGCCACGCGGCAGAGTCGTCGTGGTGCACGACCGGGGCGTTGTGGTTGCCACTGTCGGCTCCAAAATTGGGAGCTGCCAGCTGATACTCTTCCTGCCGATGGCCGCCGTTGGCAGCCATGAACGCCTGCACGAGGTGGTCTCGGTTGCGGGGGTCGAAGCGCACGGCCGCGTCCCGGGGCTCAAACCGGCTGCGGGGAACGACGGCGGGGGCGGGCTGCCTGACCCCCCCCGCCCAGTGGGGGGGCGCTCGGGGCGCTCATC